CTAATTTTCATCGAATCCAACATAGTTCACAGGTGATATACAAAGCAAAGTATCTTATAATTATCTATTCCAACAAAGCAAAACATGAGCGATATTTTTTATGATGTATTCTCAATAGAAGAACAGCAACTGACTTCTATAATAATTTACTAACCAAACGATTTAAAAGAATCGTCCACTTCTTTAAAGAAAATACACAACAAAATATACCACGTACTCGTTCAATAAATTATTCGAAAGTGAAAACAAAGCCATTTTTCTAAAGGAAAATACCAAAAAAAATGTTTCTTATTTTCGAATTCTACCCAACATTTTCATTTAAAATAATTACTAACTCCGAGTTTTCCAAAGAAAGAACAATTCAAAATTGTTTCTATCCTATTCTTCAAAAAAATCAACATTTATTGTTCGAACATATGAATGAGTCATCAATAGAAAAGAATAAAACATGGAACAGCGATTCCATTGGTTCAAGCCACCATCCTATCAATAAACAATTTTATTCAATAATATTTCTTTTGTATTTTTACGTCATATTATAGATTATTTTGTAGCATTTAATGTTCTAAAATGCTTAAAAATATTTTTATTGAATTTAAATCCTTTTTTTATCAATTTTTTAACGATTTTAACCATATTTTCCACTGTAAACTAGCGCCATCTACTGAAAAAAAGCCGCTCGCGCACCCTTTATGGCCCAAACCCTTTCTGACCGCACCCTTTGTGCCCAAACCCTTTTTCACAGCACCCTTTCTGCCCAAACCCTTTCTGACAGCACCCTTTGTGCCCAAACCCTTTTTCACAGCACCCTTTCTGCCCAAACCCTTTCTGACAGCACCCTTTGTGCCCAAACCCTTTCGCACCCAACTCTTCGCGGTTTCTTTCTTACTTAAGCTTTATTTCAATCAAAACACAAAAATAAAAAGAACTCAATCAATGTCTCTCACATAAGCAAGCGTGACCACGAAAATAAATAATATGAATAATATAATAATGAATACGATGACAGGTTGCACCATTACGTTTGCTAAAACGCTTGTAAACATCATTGCGCCAATGACTCCAATCTTCCTTACTCCAATTCTCCCAATTGCATATCCAGTCCCAAGTGTCTTGATCACCATTAAAGTGCCCATCACGACACATGTGACATTTAGC